AAAAAAACAAATGGCTTGAATGATATAATAATGAAGGTTTTTCTGTATTATATTCCTCTGGGAGACAAAAGGTGGAAGAATTAGTTAATATTTTAGACTACAGGAGTTAAATTAAGAGATGTGTATGGAGTATGGAAGTTCAGAGTTGCTGCTGCTTAATGGACTGCAGTCACATATCACAGCATGTGTACGTGTAATTGTGTCCCAAACGGGAGACTAAATCCTTAAAGATTCCCGCGTTATGCATTAGTTCTCTAAACAAGAGACAGAAATAAGACACAGTATTACTAAAGTACATGATTCATTCTGATATACTAGTTAAAACATGCCAAGGACATGAGTTACAGCTCAGCCAAAACCTCCCTGTCTGAAATAAACATTGATCTGATGGAGCCCTGCATTAATTTTTAAAACATAACAGCAGGGGGCAAGGAGGGCCAAGGATTTTCACGGCAAACTAGCTGCTTCCATGATAAGAACAAGGTATATTTTCAGTGCTTACTCTTCTTTTTCTAAAATTGTCCCCAGAAGCTGTATTTGCAATAGCAAAGCTCTGAAGAATTCTAAGGGGTTTAAGGCTTTTCTTTCAGAGTAATTCCTTTTTCAGTAAATAGTCTGGAAAAACACATCCTGCGTTGCACATGGTGCATAAGATTGCAGGAACGTATTTTCAGGGTCATGAGCTAAATTAACATCTGGCTCAATTGATATTTCAGCTGTATTACATGCATTTTGTCTGCATGTAGCCCATCACTTATTTTACTTGCCCTCAGATTATGCAGTGGCACTTACCACCCTACATGCATATATTATGCAGTCTATGCCTAACATCTGAATGAACCTTGGATTTTCAGTCATCTGGCATACTTGTAAGTTATTCACATTTTTTCTTTGCTTACAACTAACTACTCTGGATACAGCACAGTCTATTTATAAGCTTTGTAAACACTCCCTCTTCAAAATGCTTTGTGGTATCTTCAGTGTCTTCATGGAAGATTGTCAAATGAGGGAAGCAGCTGAACTGGAGAGGCATAGGAAAGAATGGAAAATAAATCCCCTAACATCAACAAGGCAGAGATTGTCAGTGTTAGCAAACATTTCTCTGATAGCTATTCTGTTAAATTATTCACGAATTTGGAGTAATAGGTTACCTGCTGCTATGCAAAATGAAGATTTGTTTTTTTTTTTACTGTCAGACTGCCAAGTGTAGTAATTTGAGTGCATAAAATTCGACAGCACAGAACAAGCAGCTTTGGTACCATTGGGATTCTTCCTGTTACTTGATGATGGTCTGATGGTAGTGAGCAGGTTTTTAGTGCTTTTGTGGGCACCAGCATTTCCTCAAAAGTATCATTTAGGTAATAAAATGCTCTTTTTGTTAAAACAGATGAATATCTTCATTTCTGAAGTAATGCATTGTTTCCATGCACATGTAAGACAAGGGCACCCTTACCTGACTGTTCCCAGTACATGTTATTTCTTCCAGCAATTGATATGAAGCCCAGAAGGATGCTTCCTATCCCCAAATTTGCTAAACCAAAAGCCTTCAACATCTTTTTCATCCTCCAAAGTGCAGTAAACAGCGTTGAGTGAAGGCACAGAGTTGCTGTTGGCTGTCAGAGGCATATGTGAAATGCTCCCCTTCCATGTGACCCAATTCCTGTAATCTGCAGTTCCGCAAAACCTGCGTATTTGATGGTTACTGGGATTTTGCAAAGGTAAACTGGACCTGGTAGAGATGGTATTTCCAAAAATTAAGGCTATGTTCATAGAAAGGATTGTGTTACTGAAATATCTAGATGGATTTGAAGAGAGACTTTTATGTCTTGGCAAATTTAAAACCTCTTGATTGCCACTGTTTCCTCAGGTGTCTGCTTTGATAAATATGGTGTTTTAGGATGTGTGAATACTCCAAATGAATTACCCATGTGAATGACAAAAAATAACCCCCCAAAACAAAATAAAAACCCCTGCCACACAACACCTTCCTCCTCTCGAAAACAACCTCAACACAAACTTGTAAAGAATATTAAGCATAGGGCAATAATTTTCTAATCAACAATGTCACTTCAAGAATAACACAAATCTTCTGGAAACCCCTTCAGATTTACCCAACTTCTTAATGTGTGTTTAAACCATAAAAATACTTTTTGAGATATAAAAGGTTATAGCTGCAATTCTTTGTAAAGGAATAAAATGTTAATTTTGGTGAAAGTTTTTATTAAAATCCATGTTTTTTCTAACAGGCAAATAATGATGCTGGTATATTTACATATGTAACTTTGAAATCATAGCAAGTTAGCTATTAAGACAGAATACTTTACTTTGGAAAAGAGCAGCTAGCTTACATGTGTTGGTCGACCACTCTAAGTCAAAACTAAACATCTGATAACCATAAATGCTTTTCTGTATGTATGTTCTAATGCCATAAGTATTTAAGACAAAAAAATGATCCCAAACTATATCAAATGGAAAAAGAACAAAGTATAGATTTTTAATGGACTTTTTTTCCTCATTTGTTTCAGTGATGTCTACATTTTAGTCTGTGTGAACATCTGTTTCAGCTGGATGGTTTCAGACAAGGTTAAACAGCTCTAGTAGTTTCTGAAGGGAGGTAAGAAGTATATTGTTGAGCCTGTGTTTGAAAATGGAGACTGAGGTAAGGTTTGGCATTGCCTGCTTCAAAGAAAACGGCTAAAATCTGGCAGTGCGCAAGGCTATTGTGCCAGCCTGATATCTCTTGCCTTGCCCTTACAATTCATGCAGGTTGTAAGTCTTCCAAAAAGCAGCAGTTCACTTGTGTCCGGGAGAGACACTGCAGGTTTCACCCTGTACTTCCTGGAGGTCCCATGGTGCAATGCCCATCTGCCTGTGGAGGATCTGGATCACCAGAAGAAGGCTGGAGCCCCATGAAAAATGGTGCATGATCCCATAAGGATTCTAGTGTGGACAGCGAGGTTGCAAATGTAAGTTAATGCTGGTACTTTGACAGGTTCTGGACCTCTCAATCTTAATGATGTTCATTCATTGAACTGTAGCATGTGTGTTTGGGTCAATGTGTTGCAGTTACTCATGTCATCTGTTGTTCAACTTTTGACTATGGCTAAGCCAACACCGGATAACTAAACAACCATAAGGTTTTTATATCTCTCTCTAATAAGAATAATCCAGGCACATCTGGCTTAATGAACTTGCTTGATCCAAGAAGCAAGTCTCAAGTTTCAGATGTATTCATAATTTTTCACTTTATCGGTGTTTATAGGAAGAATTTACTCAGTTATACTTTTTTATATAAGTGGGAGGGGGGAAGGGTTGCTCTGTGCCTGGTTAAAATCCTAGTCCTTTACTTTCCTGCAACAGTAGTTCTCACCCACATAGCTAATCATTTTTAAATAACTGAAGCACAAATTTTCATCTCTAAAAATAAGGTGATGAAAATAGCCTATTAAAAATACTATGCTATATTGGTGGTACAGCTGTAAGGGATTTACAAAAATCAATTATATTACTACTGTAAAAATATCAGCATTGAAGTTAGTGGCAGTGTATTTTGGTCTTGGATTCCACATATTTATCTGTCTGGTATTTTCAGAAAAAGCAATCTACTTCAAGTCTCTCTATAGAAGACTTTTCCTGCCATTATACATGCCTGATCTAGAATTATTAATTTGGAAATTAAATGTCCATCATCCAAAAAATACCATGTTGAACTTGACAGTACTCTTGGCTTTCTTCTTAAATCCAGAGATTCAAAGAAAGCAAACAACAATAAGCCCCATTTGTTTCCTTTACTGGGAGCTAAAGACTACTGAATAAGTCTCATGACTTGGGGGGGGAGGCAGGGGGAGGAAGGGTAATAGTGCAACTTCTGTATTCATCACTACTAATACATGCTGAGTCTGGAAACTCCTGTTTTGATGAACGTTATCAACAAATGTTGTGAGGTTTAAATTATTCCATTGATTTACATTAATTTGGTATGCTGTGTGCCGAGAGACTCAGGATATTTAAAAACCAGTAGAGATAATTGGTGGGAAGTTGGAGGAGACTTTCAGACATACCAGAGCAATCGCTTATTGTTGAGATAACCATGTGAAGTTGGTAAAATTATGTATGTTTTTCTGATTACGCTTCTCTCTTCCCAAAGATGGAGTTCATAAGTATCCATAGTATTATGATGTTGTTTCTTTCTGTCTTTCAAAGTTTGGGCAGAAGCAATGGAGTTCTTGTGGCTGCCACAAACCACTATTTTTTCACCATTCTGAAGGTCATAAACTGATCTCATTAAATTTTCTGCTTCTATAATCAGGGAGAAAATTCTGATAAGACTTTTAATGTGAGAAGTCCTCTTACTCCAAGGTGGAGATTTAACATGGTGTTAGCCACTGAGCACCAGTATCTCACCTCTCATCAAGTGAGAAAGTGGAGAACTGAGGCTTCTGCAAACTCCCCTTGAAGTTGCCAAAGCTAATTTTGCAGAGGCAGGTCAAAACTGTATTTTAGTTACTGCAGAAGGAATATCTGAGAACACATTTTTGCCTGTAGGGCAGCAGTGTGAAAACCTGCACAGTCCCAAGGCTGGAAGCAGAGATGGTCAAGAAAAGGCCTTTCTAGAACTAAAGCAGAATTGAGCATCTCCCACAGTTGCTGAGAAAATAAAGGAGAATGTCTTTAAAAAGGACTAGCCTAATGCAGAACTCTCTGCGGCTTGGGAATGAAATGCTTCTCAGATGACTGTGCTGGTTCTTCCAGATGTGTGAGCAATTTTTAGTGCTGATGAGATTTTGCTAGCAGGACGAGCACCATATGAGTATGAATAATTTAATTCCAAATTCTTTCATAGATAGTAATTTTCAAGTAATACCTGCAGATTTTAACCTGGAGACAGATGCTCTAATGTGTCGCTAAGGGATTTTTGACTTGCCCTTCCAATGTGAAAGGGCACTGTGGAGCACTACCAAACACTTTAGTGTCCCAGTACTATGAGCTAGTGTTTTTTTCACATAGGACAACCACAACTTTTTATTTATTTCTCAAAGAAAAAGGTTTTTGCTTCCTTTTACTGGTGGAGACAGGGCACATTTATAATGACAGAGAACCCCACTTTGGGGAGGGCTCCTGCAGTGGGCAGGAGGCTTTGGAGGGACCTGCTGGGGAAGCCCTGGTGCAGGGAACCCCACTGAGGTTGCTGAATGCCTGTGACAGGTGGTTTCAGCCACTACTCTGGTGGAGGAACACATCTGCTGAGGCCTGTCTTGATCTTTGTGTCTTTGTCAGGACATATCAGTAGGCATGTTAACTTGGCCATGGGAATACAGACTCTTGGTCCTATTTATGGACTTCACCTATAAGGGGATTTTCAGTTCAATGAGTATCCCAGATAATACCTCATGTCAAATACAACTTCCTGTCTGTAAGAGTGGGTGTCTCTACTGCCTGCCTGGATGGCAAAGCACTCTATCAATGATGGGATAAAGATTAACTAAAAATGAAAGTAATTGGGTTTTCTCTAGCTTCTTCTCTGTTTCTTTCACAAGTTGCTCTTAGGCACCAGAGCCCCTCTTTGAGATGGAAATAGTTACTGTGCTTCTCTCTTGGCAGTTTGGTCTAGTTGGTAACTGGAGTCTTCTCATTTGGCAAGCTATTCTCAGGGTTCCCACGTTGCACTCGTTCTTGCATTTTCCATTCCCTTATTACTTTCCTAATAACTGCTTCTCAGGCCTCCTCTTCCTTTAATATTTTCTTGTGTGTTTGGCTGGGCTTCTCTGCATTTTTGGTATGGCGTACGATGTGCCATCGCTGGAACAAGATGTCACAGCTTTTCAGCTGCTGGGCTTGGGGTTGCTCATTCAGAACGCTTTGCTTCAGTTGCCTGTTTCAGCTCTCTCCACGAGAGCTTTAACTCTGGTTTATGGGGGGTCTCTGCTATAGCAGCGACATTCTGGAACGGAAGATGCCTCGTCTGGTAAACAGTTGCTAGTATCTTGGCTACAGTGAGACACCTTTCTCAGCTGGAGTCGCTGGAGCTTTGTGGTCTGGAGTCTCTACTCTGGCTTGCGGTTCATTCAGGCTCTCTTCTGCTTCTTGCTCCTGGCTGGATATATTCCCTTGTTTGCTCTAGCTCATCACCTTAAGGAATCTCAGTAGTCTATACAGTCATTTGTGGTTTGGTATTTTTGTCAGTCCTGACTGTCATGCCAATTTTTGCTCTGTAGCCTGGACCTCTTAAGTTTTGTCCCCTGCACCCACAGCATCTCTCCTTTCCTCCTTCAGCCTCTTCTGCTCAGAAGTTTTTGTGTGTTGGTCTTGTAAGGCAGAAAAATCCTCTCTGCTCTGAATTCTTCAGAATATAAATTTATGTTAACTGTCTCCTTATTTTGCTAGTAAAAAATTAGAATGGATAGGATTAACCTAAAAAGTAAGCAATTGTGCTTTTCAAAGGCATTTCAAGATTTTAGGCCTATTCAAGACTGGAGAATACCGACTCTCAAAAACGTCTTCTATCAGAAGGTAACAGGCGTATCTGGAGAGAGAAGGCAAACACTGGTCATTACAATGTCTTTCACTTTCTACAAAGAAATAAACATGTCTAATGGCTTCAGACCTGGAGTCCCCCTTTCTTCAATTTTAGCCAGTTGTTGTAAAAGACATACTGTAATCCTTTCCATTTCTTGTACTTGTGAATCCTATTTGATAGCTGGGTAATTTTCTTTAACTGGAGCAGTATGTTAAACATTTTCTTGGCTGCCACAGTCAGAATTCTAAGTAATTTTGCTGAACTAGGTTCCAGCAATTTTGGTACGTAGCCTAACACCATATATTGTGGTGTGCAGGGCAAATCAGTTCTCCAAAGGGAACTGAATGGCAGTGTGGATCTTCTGCCAAAAGTTCCTAATACTGGGACTGTACCAGGAAACTTGTGTGGGTCCTGTTCTGCTCTTACTCAAGTCAAAGGTAAAGTTCCTATTGACTGCAGCAGGATAAGGCTCAGGCTTCAACACTCAGTCCTCACATTCCCATGTTGCACATTTTCTTTCAAATTCTTATTCATTTTTTTTCTTTAATTTTAGGCTCTGGCAGTATACCAATCATTGCTTTCTCCTGTACATTTTCTGGAAGGAAAATCAGAGATAGGAATCATTTCCCTCGCCTCTTATACTGTTCAAGAGTAGCTCCTGTTCTGTGCCCCAAAGTGTGGCTGGAACTCAGCAGCTGTAATCTGGAGTGACAGATGAGCAAGTCTGATCATAAAAAGAGGGGAAAAAAAAACCAACAAACTGCTGGAAAAGGAGCAAGTAAACAGAAGAAAAGCTTGTAGTCGTGTCAGAAAGGCAAGAAGTGATATCTCAAAAGAATTACTTTTGCATTTCAGTAATCCCTTGGTTTACTTGGAGAGATAAAAGAAATTGTGGATAGGCTGTGGTCAAGCTGGAGACAGCAAACATGAAAAATGGGATCTCGGGACATTTACCATGGGAAATGAAACTCCAGCATCACTGTGTTGCAATGAGTGTTAATGCATCCGGAGCTTAAGTGTCTTACTTGTAAGTATACAGACTGCTATATATAGCACTGGAAATAAACACTCGTAATCTGATAGCTTCAAACATAGTAGGTTTCATGTATTAGGCTGTAAGAACACATGGAAGAAGCAAGTGTAAGAATAAACCTGATAGTGATTTTTTTGCTATGAAGCAAAGCCTACTCCACACATGACATCTTATTTAAGAGCTTGATAGATTTCATGGAATGGCACCAAACCATTCCAAACCCAATCTGTAATGTACATCTTAGTTCATCTTAATGCTAATAAAACCTAAATGAAATACGACACTGCAGTTGTTGGAAGCCATTCAAGTGTGGTTTAAAACAGAAATGCTGAGAAAGCCTTCACTGCAACAGTGTTCAGTACCTCCCTGGGCAGGCACTGTTCTCTTCAGTGAACAAGCACATTTTCAAATTTTGCTGTCACTTTGTTTAAGGCAGGGTACAGAGTCAGGAAGCAGAAATGTTGACAGCTTTTACCTTGTTCTCAAATAATGAAGTAAATAGGAAATCCCATGGTAGCGAGTGAGACTATATAGATTCTGAATGATTCAAGGTATTGAAAATGACTGAATGTGAAATTTAACTCAAAACCATTCTGGTGTGTTGCCTGAAAACAATTTTCCCTGACAATTTTTGCCCTATTTTTTCTGCCTGTTCCCAGCTACCTGGATCACTCAGAAAAGTCTTTCTCAGCTGAGTGGAGCATCCTCAGATACAAGAATATTAAAATCCTTGTCTTCCACAGGCATTCTTTATGCCTTATCACCTCTTTTGTTTTCTGCTGTTAGGGAATATGTTTGCTTTTATTTCATGTCACCTACAACCTGAAGGTCGTTGCCAGAGGTCTCGTGAACTTTTTGTTCTTGTAACACCCAGCAAGAGCCAAATACTGCAATGAAATTTCTGCTTAGGTCAATGGAAGTTTTGCCTAAGTAAGGCTGCAGGATTTGGCCACGTGTATATTGCGAGGTCTGGTATTGTTTAACCCTACCTTGCTTGTTCTGAGAGATAGCTTACCTAAAGATGTATTATGGGATGGTGTTGCAATAGAATGTTACTTGGACAAGGTAAGAAAACTGGAAATTAAAGCCAAGAAGTCCTTTGTCATTTTAGCAAGAAGACAGCGAAGGGTGTCTTCTTTCTTTTGGCATTGTAATGCTACCAGATTACATCTGCTCCTCAAACATTTTCCAGAGGGAGGCTTGCTAGACCCCACTCCAATTATACTCGAGATGTAAACCCTCCAGCGCACTCAGCTTTTTCTTATACCATTTCATGATCTCCTTTCCCCCCCTCCTCCTCCATCCCCACATTTTGACTTTTAACTTGCAGCTTTCTGCCAGCCCTTCCCAGCTGAAGCCCGGTGGGAACCTAAGGCACTTCTCGCCCTTCAGATGCGCTGACCGCCATCACCTGTCTGCCCCTTACAGTCCCCCGCTGCCCGTTGGACGGGCGCACCCGGGGCTACCGCACGGCTCTGCCTGCCTGGGCCCCTCCGCGGGGCTGGAGCTGGCAGCGATCGACTCGTATCGGCTCGGCGCGGCACTGCGCGCCCCGCTGGTGTCGCTGCGCGGGGCAGCGCGGACGGGTCCGTCCCGCCCCGTGTTTGCTGATGTAATCGCCGGCGGCCACCGCTGAAATTCAACACCGAGGCTGGCGGGGAGGCCGCCGGTGCCGGAGAGGCGGCTACATCACCGCACTCCGCGGAGCTCCTCCGGCGTACCCACCCCGCCCCCGTAGCGCCCGCCCTGGGGCCGCCCTCGGGCTTGCGCGGAGCTCTGCGGAGACCTCGGGGGCGGAGGGGATTGATGGGCCGGACCTAACTCGGCGGCGGCGCGGTGCTCGGCTCCGTCTATTTCCTCGGATCTCCGCTGCCCGGGCAAATGCATACAAATGCATTTGAGAGCCGAGAGGACAAGGCGAGGACGCATCTTTCCTGCGGCGCAAACGTAAGTGTCATCGCTACCGGGGCCGGGAAGGGATGGGGCTGCTCCCTGGGGCAGGGGACGATGTTCCCGGTGTGCTGTCCTCATACCCCACCTTCTGCAGCCGTAACCCTGCGAGATCCCGGGTACTCCTGGAGGACCGATGGGGGTTGCAGGATGCCGGCTCCTCGCCTTGCCCGTGACTGTCTCTCCCCTCCGCACTCCCTTCTTTCTCTTCTCCCTCTTGCTTTCGGGATGTCCCCGGTCCTGTCCCGCATGCCTCACGTTATCCTTCTCCCGTCCGAGCCCGGGAGCGTAGCCCCTGGGGTGGGAGCTAGCGCATCCCGGCTCCTGGGAGAATAGGGATCCTGGGGGAGAGTGAGCCTCCGCCCCCGCGGGGAGCCCGGCTGCTTGCCTTTTGGTACCTGGCTACTAAAGCACAGCAAACAAGAAAAAAATTTCACGATTCACATCTAAGAGCTGAGGACACTCTTAATAACAGATGAAGTAGCCTGTATTTACTTGCTTCTGCTATAGGCTGGGGTGTTTCTAATGCATCATCATTAGTGTTGCAGAAGCAGAGCTTGCTCTCCTCTACAGTTTGTCTCAAAGCAGCCGGGGCAAGATAATTGTGAACTTTTAATAGTTATAATGATATTATAGAGGTTACCAGTATACGTTTCCTTTTTAAAAGTGCTTATTCTGGCTTGAATTAAGTTTACCGAGAGCTCTGAGCGGGACAGATAAGGGTTTGTCATGTGTTGTAGTGACGATTATGCTGCTAAAATGTTCCTCGTGTATAATCTGGGTGCGCTTGAATGCTTGTGGACACTTCCATGGCTGCCTGAAGGTGGCCTTCAATGTTTGTGTGTTTCGTGGCTGTGTCTGGGGGACTCTTCAGGAATTGTCTCTGCAATTTGCAGAAGGAGTTTCTATGATGTCTGTAAAGGGATATAGTTGGTACAGAAATATAAACTGAACTACAGTGAAGTAGTATTGTAGCAGAGGTGCAGTTTATCTAAGCTGAAAATTTGAGATAGCTCGGGAATATGTATTTCTGTGCTTCTATCTTGTTTCCCTAATTTACCTGACTAGAGAGAAAGCAACATGGTTGCTTGCCTGGGTTAAGAAACCAGAATTCCTCACAGGAGGATCTGGTTCCCTTTGCATGTATCAAGCCAGTCAGTCCCTTGCAACCTACACCATCTTTTTGTGGAAATGATGTTACGTCAGACCTGCTCCCTGTGTAGGGGTGTCTCTGCAGGTTAGAGAAATGAAACAGCAGCATGACTCCTAAACCTCTCCCCATATTTGTTGATGGAATAGTTAATTTTGAAACATGAGTTACGAGAGCTGAGTTGTAAAACTCAACCAATCTGAAAAATGCGTAGAGACAAGTATACAGAGACAACAGAAGGGAGCGTTTCACAGGAGTGGGAATTTGAGCTTTGTGCTTTTGCCTTAATACACAGGAAGACAGTGTGCACTAGCTAGACAAGAGAACTAGTGTAGGAAATTAGGGAGGTACTCATAAAATGGCTCTAAAGTAACTTCTTTTTGATTAACTTTTCTCCTTTTACAAAAACAGAGTTGACTATTCTGGATGTGGTAGTTTCTCATCTTAAGCCAAAGGTTGTCCAGAGAGCATCTGGGCCACCAGACAGGGAGTTTCTTGCCTTTGATACACAGCACTGTTGCAGGACTCATCTTAGGCTTCTGCTTTTCAGAGCACTACGTGTTTTGATTCTCTCCTTCTTGCCTTATGTCTCTCCCTTTCTCCCATCTTGTCAGCTTGTGTCAAAGGATTCAGGTGCTTCCCCCTCACTGGTTAGCTGCACAGGGGCATCCATGCCCGAAGGGCATGCCGCTTGCCCAAGAGGCTTTGGGGGCTGTTGTGTCCCCTGAGCCGCCTTGGTAGTCGGTCTCTTCATTTGATAAGCAGCACTGGAGCTGCTGGCTAATCTCATTGTAGTAGCAAAGGAGGAAGATACCTTTACTTTTAGATCTTGAAAGGTTTTTAGCAGCTTAGGATTTTTGAGAAGCCCAGGGCATTTCTGTCCACAGGGTACTATCACCTTTCCCAAAGTCCTCCTCAGGCTGGATGAGCACAAGCTGGGCCATTCTCCTCAGCAGTCCTGAGGAGATCCACTGAATCAGTGCACATAGGGCAGGTGCTAGTAATTAAACCATCATCACTGATGAGCACAGGGTTGAAAGCATCTGTGCCAGTTAATCTGGGAACAGGTTTTCCTGCCTTCTCTAGCAGCCAGCTAGTGGTATTTCTTCCTTTAAACTTAAGCTTTAGGAAACTAGCCTGGAATGAAGAGGATACTGCTGTGCACTGACCAAACCCGAGCTCTGTCCGTTGCTGAATCATCTTCCAAGGTTGCAATTTTTCATTGCTGCTTGCCACAACCTCCTGCTTCTTTCATCACCCATAATGGAAGAACATAAGCATGAGTGGTCACTGTCCACTCATAGGGAGAGGCAGGCAGCCACAAGATGTCAAAGATCAGAAAGATAAGCTCTAGTTTAAAAGGTATCAACCACATTTGGTAGTGCCTTCCTCCAAACAATTATATAGTTGCCCTCAGGTGGTATTTGCATGTAAAATAGGAGAAAGGATGAAAAGGTACATGGAGGGGAGGAAGCTCAAGAGATACCTTGAACTCTAGGACAGGACATAGATAAGTGGTGTTGGAACAGCTTCATGTGTGATGTTAAATGGGGGAAACCAGCCAGCATATATGTTGCTTGGAGTCCTCCCTGCCATATGCTTTTGCATTTTTCTGTTGTCACATCCCAGAGGGGCAAGCCTCCCCAGGAGCTGTGGGCTCAGCTAGGGCATGCTGTCCAGGGTTTCTGGAAGCTGCTTGCTTTGTTCCTTGCAGCCATGGCAGCCAATGGATCAAGCCATGTATGCATAACACAGCAGGGAGCCTGGTGTTTTAGGGCAGTTCTGGTGAGAGAATGGAGACAGAAGTGGCTGCTCTAAAGCTTAAAAGCTGCAAATGCAGAGTAGTGATCTTGACCAAGAAGGAAGAAAAACAGAATTTCCTTTTTCATCTTTGGCCATGGAGGGCTCCCTTGTACAGCTTCACTTGAGGTTGCACATGGTTTCATTTACAGAAAGGTTTACTTACTGCAAAAAAAAAAAATAGGTAAAAGGAAGACTTAACTTTCCCACGCATTAAAGGACCTCTAGCCCTACGGTTGTTTCTGATCCCTGTATTTTCTGTTAGCTGATCACTCGTCTGTTCTTGACATTAGCTGGAGAGCACTGTGTAAGCCAGACATTTGTCTTTACCTCTCACTAAATGTTTCTGTATATCCAGTTACATCTGTGTAATTTACAGCCCCGGGAG